ATTTCTGGGAATCAATCTTAGATCCCCACAAATCCACGTAAAACCTTCATTGGACCGCACACCTCTGAATGAATGGCTACTTTGGCAAACAACATCAAGTTCAACTTTCACCAAGGTCTCAGAGTTTGCCCTCCGGAGGCCCTGACCTCCAACCTCCATAGTCCCCAAACCATTCAACATGTGTGAAGTGCGACTGAAGGAAGCCGAAGTCACTGTCTCAAAAGTGCTTTTTCAGAAGGCAACTGGTCTTTCTTGTTTTTTCTTTGAAGACGTTTCCCTTCTCATCCAAGAAGCTTCTTCAGCTCTGACTGGATAGTGGAGAATTGAAGGATTTATATTCCTTGCAGACAACTGGTCATTTGCATCCTTTTAGAGCAGCGTTTCTCAACCTTGACAGCTTAAAGATTTGTGGACTTCGATTCCCCAGAATTCCCCAGNTTTAAGGATCGTTTTGCCTTGGACTCTGATTTAATTCTACTTGATACTTTGAACGCTGACATTTGGTTTCTTGCCATATTTAGGTAGCAAGCACAACATTGCAATGTCTATGGATTCTCAATCCTCCAGGTCATGGTTGTCCCAAAGGTGCATTTCCAAAAGGCAACTGGACTTTCTTGGGGTTCTTCTTCCCCTTTGGAAAAAGTTCTTTAGAATCAGAGAACCTTCTTGGATGAGAAGCAAACTGTTTTCAAGGGAAAAGCATCTTTGGGACAACGTTGGAATGTTAAGTCTTAACATGTAAAAATATGCCCATTTGTGACAATGTCCTGCTTGCTTTACTCCTCATCATCCCCCCCCACAAACTTTAAATGCACTATCTTGGTTTACCAAATGGGTAAAAGCCAATCATATATTTTTTTGCATGTGATTCTAATTACAGCAATTTCACTTTTAAAATCATTAGTCTCCTATATTCTGAATTGTTCTCCCATAGTGACAAAAGGTTAGTAATACACAAAAAGAGTCACCAAAATTGTTTTTGAAAGTAATTGTCAACTCGAGACACACAACTCACACCACGTTCTGTCTCAAGAGTTCAGCATGCTTCATTCTCTTTCAAAATAGGCCAGATATTAGAAGCTACATTCTGATTTTTTTACATCAACATTGCTCTCTATGAAATTTTCTGTTATTTGCGGTTACAACAATTCCAACATTCCAAGGATTTTGTTTCTCAAAGCTTAAAGCAATATATCTGTCTCTGGGTGTATTCCAGGTTTAATCTGCATTAAGTACTTAAAACAATGGTCAGATAATGCAGCTGTGTTATAAGAGGGTTTTTAAAAAGGGGTGGGGGGAAGGACACATTCTAATTAGCAGCTTTGTCACCATGGATGAAAAAGCAGAAATCACTTTAGCTCAAAGCTTTTTCAACTTGTATCATATCCTAATTGAACATCAGAAGCCTATGGCAAGCCACCCATTAATTGGAGCTGGATGGAACAATCTGAAGACTCTCCAGTGAAGCCAATTAAGGAGACTTAGAAAGAAAGAGCCACTTCTTCACACTGGAATTTGGTTCCATAAGAAATGTACAATGCTCATCTTAGATAGCACCCAAACAGGATTAAGCCAGGCCTAAGCAACATTCTAGGGACGCGGGGTCTCAGTGGCTAAGAGGCTGAGCTTGTCGGTCAGAAAGGTTGGCAGTTCGGCGGTTCAAATCCCTAGCGCTGCGTAATGGAGGGAACTCCCGTTACTTATCCCAGCTTCTAGCAGTTCGAAAGTACATAAAAATGCAAGTAGAAAAATAGGAACCACCTTTGTTGGGAAGGTAACAGCTTTCTATGTTCCTTTGGCATTGAGCCATGCCCACAGAGACGTCTTTGGATAGCACTTGCTCTTCGGCTTTGAAACGGGCACTGCCCCCTAGAGTCAGGAATGACTAGCACATATGTGCAAGGGGAACCTTTACCTTTAAGCAACATTCTGCTTACTGATAACTAGAGTTCTGCCACTTGACTTGATTTTGAGATTAACATTATTTTTCTTAAATAGGTAGTCCTTATGATTACAATTGGAACCAGAATTTCCATGTACTAAGCATGTCAGTTGCAATTAATTGAAAGATGTAACGCAAAACACAAGCTTTTAGGAGGTGGGTGTCGAACCTGAAGATGACATATAGGTAGCCATATTTTATTGTAGCCTTTGTCTATTCTTTGCTTAGCTTTTTAGGTTTGCAAGCAAAGTGTTCTGACCTAGGCTTCCCAAGAGCATGAATCAAACTCCTGGTCCCAACAAAAAACCCTTTTATTAATTTACTTTGAATTCTTTGAATTCACATCCGGCAAAGTCTTTCAAGGGAGGATTTACAGTCACAGACTTTATCTGGCTGGGAGAGCTGACAGGCCGATATCTGCAAAACTTGGCAAGGAGTCTCGGAGAGTCACGAACCAATTAAGCAAGCTAATTCTCTCCTGCAAACTCCACTCCCCATTCGCTCCTCTTTTTATTTCCTCTGGGAGGGGCCATTCATTGTCCACCTGTGGCCTTACTCCCAAGTCGACCTGTTCTTTAGCTGTT